TCCATGCGATTGTGCATTAGACATATACATGATTGGCGTACGTCGTAAGGCCATTCGTCATAGTTTATTCCTAGAGGATCTCGTTTGGGCTAGGACATGAGTAGTAACGACATAGCATCAACACCAGGCAAAGAGGAGACTCCACAGCGGGAGCGGCGGCTGTGGGGGTTGTATGATTTTTTGTTTCCTATTTAATCGATTTGTACAGGTGGGGCGTCGATGTTGTCTGCCTCTATAAAGCCCATATGTATAAGGCCCTGTTTGATGGACTATGAGTAGTTGTTAGTCATGGCTAAAAAATAGCCAGCTAAAAATTAGTCAACTAGTTGTTAGTTCATACCTGTTTGAATCCTAAACTAATTGTTGGGTTTTACTATAGACTAGAACTAGTTATTAGTCTTTGATAGTTGGGTTCTATGGATTAGTGAACTAATAACTAGATAGGGCCTTGGCTAAATTTAGTCCATCCATTAATCCTCCTGTTTGGATCCTCAAGCCAACTAGTTGTTAGTTCGAGGGATTCAAACAGGACCTAATATAGATATCTGAGATGGGTTTCATAACCGCTCGTAAAATTTTCCATTTACATGGGCATCGCCATAGAGGCGGGCTAGGCAAACCTCTTTCACCCATCTCTAAAAATAATGTGTGTGTTAGTGCAAGAGATTAAACTTGTAAATCTTGAGATTAACAAATCCTACGTCTTAGCATTTCTCAGTTGATCACGTCACCTGTCACTGAATGGTGAATAGCGCCCAAGTCTAGTACATACCTTGTATGGATACATTGTATCACTAGAATTAATTTAATCAACTAGTCAGCGAGGTACGTTGTTGAGACATGAATAGCCAATGGACCTAGCAACAACTAAACGATGTGACTTGAATACCTTGTATGAATAGCCAATGCACGTTGTTGGGAATGTGTAATAGCTCTATAAATAAGGTAGAAGATGCCCCCAACCAGCCATCTCTCCCGTCAGTCATTTCCTTCATCCTTTAGGGTTTCCCTGTCTCTAGAATGCTGTAGTGATCCGCAGATGATTTAGCCAAATCACTCATCTGTGTAAATCAAACCTTGTAGACCTGATCTAAGTGGGAATGGAGGCCCTAACCTCCTCTTGTCCTCGTGGCTTCAAGATCTGAGTCTTTGATTTGCAATTGATTTGAGTTTTGATTTGATTTGAGCTTTTCCTTCTACCTTTCCCTTCTCTTCACCGTTTGAGATTTCTTGAAACTAAGTTTTTGGGGTCGATTCAAGTGGATGGATACGTGCTAGGACATCCAAGGAACTTATCTACTGACCGGTTTCGGCAGATTCCTTGCGAGCATGAAGTTGAAGAATTTTGAGGAAAGTTGGAAAAACCCCGATCTGGTTTCGAGTTTTCTTCCCCCTCCCCCCCGGAGTTCCCTTGATCTTTTGGACTTCAAACTCTGGGAATATCTTCCTGACATGTTTCTCAACCTCCCTACCAAATTTCATCTCAATCGGAGTTGATTTGAGGTGTTTTTGCCTTTTGGGAGAAAGTTTTCGGGGGTGCTGATTCTGCGAAACCCGGTCAGGGCAACCTCCTACCCAGGTCAGGCCAACCCTAGGTCAGACTGACCTTGGAACCTGGTCAGGCCGGGTTTAGGTTTGAGCCAAGGTCCTCAACCCGGTCAGACCGACCTTGCAACCCGGTCAGACCGACTTTGGCTGTGATCTTGCCCGTTTTGTGGTGTTTCGAAGTTCCGTTCGTCCGTTTTGTGATATGCTTGTTCCGTGGGTTTTCAGAAATGTCCAGGAACTTTTCTAAGTCCTCAAGTCACCAGTTGGCTTAGGGGATTTGGAGTTGTGTTCTTGCTTCATTCTCATTGAAGTTGAGAGCACCGCTTTTGGATTTCGGTGTTAGGTTTGGTTTTCCGCTGTGGTGTGTGTTCCGTTGTGCTCGTCGGTCATCACCGAGAACATCCAGCCACCAGTTGGCTTGAGAACACCACCTTTGTGAGTTTCGGTGCTTTTGGCGGTGATTTTGGGACAGCGGTCATTTTGAGAGAAATTTTGATTTGGCTCCCACTCAACACCACACCCCCGTCTGGGTCGCCTATTTCGGTCCTTCAAAATATGGAGTTTCAAAATTTTGGACCAAGGTTTTACCTTTTTGTCATCATCTCTTGGGGATAGCTCTACCATGTGATAGGAAAGGTGTGTGCAGAGTTTCATAATTTTTTTGGAACTCAATTGGTTCGATTTTGGGTTTTTTCTTAGAATGGAACTCACTAATGTCTGGGAAAGACCAACTAAGTTGGTTTCTGAATCCTGCTAAGCCGGTTCTGGAGACTTATTACATCAATTGATGTGGAATTTGGTGGAGATGTTTTATATGATGTTATAAACACCTTCACCAAATTACATGTTTTTTTGGAGCTCGTTTGATTAAGCTTTGACCTTTTCCTTTGGAGATCAGCGGCTGTCCTAAACCAAAACCATCCAGGCCGGTTTGGCTATCTTCCACATTTTGAGAATATCCCTTTTGGAAAGGATCCTTGTTAATTTGTGAAGACGTAAAAAAAAATCACGATTTTTGAAGGTCATTTGATTGGGTTCCGATATTTTCTTCCGAGGTCTGCAGGCTGAAAGTTGCAAAACCATCCAGACGGAGTTTGAAAAAGAGGCTAGTCCCGTTATGACAGGGTGATACTCAATTTCCGCGTCTTACACCTCTGGTCCATTTCGGCATCTTTCTAGCCTAGTTTCTATGTTCTGTAGGTCCGATGTGACTACGAGATGTTGGCTAATGCTGCTCAAGAGGTTCGTGGGTTGTCTCAGGATATAGGCTGCTCTTTATTAGTTCTTAAGAAGAGAAAATTTGAAACTCCCATTCACCCCTTTGATCGCCTCTGGCCATTTAATCTTTCCTATGAAATGAAGGATGAAAATACAAGACCCGTATATACCGAGTCAAGACACTCGAACTAAATAGGAAGCATCCACTACATTGAACCTATGCAAAGAAGGAAGTTTGAGTAGCTATACACCATAATTTTATCCACCAGCATCCAAATATTTATGAGTTAAAACATGTATGTTCTAACATTCATTCTTATAAAAATTTGGGCAAGACAATAAAAAAACTAACATAATTGGATTGAATTATAAGACGATGAAATGGCAAAACAAAAAGCAATATATGAATGCCTGCTATATTTTTTATATATTGAATATAGTAACTGCGCCAGTGGAGATGACGTGGATAGCTTGCATTAAAAGGTTAAAAGTTAGTGGGACAATATGCCTATTAGTGAGAGATGATGTTGATAGTTAGTGGGAGATGATGTGGATGGCCTATATGTTGAGATAAAATTTATAGTGGAGATTAGCTTTATAAGAGATATAGATATGCCTACAAAATTCTAAATGCAAGTACACGGATTCGTAGGCCAGTATTAAAAATTGAACTGTTGCAAAACAAAAGGAATAAACCCGTTTGCATAGCCTATTGAATATTTCTAGTAGCTATTCAGTTTACCGAGGATAAGAGGTGTAAAATCAGTGAAGTTTAGTGAGGGTTGGGCTGGGCACTAGCCATCCCATTCATACTGTCTTTTAGATAATGGAAGAAATATTCGACTTTATCTTAAAAAAGGAGAAATCAGATCAACTCATTGCAAGTTTATCCAGGCAGCAACCAAACCAAGCTTACAAAACAAAATCAACCCATAACTCAATTCTCATAGTAAATGGCCATCCAAAGGACGTGAAGAAATACATTGTCGCATACTCTAACTTGCGACGTATCTCCAACACCAACTCCCTCTGTTTCTTAGACTGCTGCAACTGAGTCCAAAATCGATGCACATCTGTTGCCCTAAATAGGATCTGCAAAAGAGTTTTTTGTCGACGTTTATCAAATACAACTTGTTGGATGACGAACTAACTGATGATGCATGGACTTGCGCCCTGTTCGTTTGGGCTGGTTTGACTTATAAGTCATGGCTGAAAGTACTATTGGCTAGTTTGGTGTGAGAGAAAATACTGTTCGTTGGTTGATAAACTATGACTTATAAACTAAATACGATCAAGCGAACGTGCTGTTGAGAAGTATACTCCCCCGTTCAATTTTCTCGTACGCATTACGAAAAAAAAGTTTTCAAGTTTGATACAAGCATTTTTTGGTTGAAGCCCCTTGGGCTGCTGCGTAGAGTAAATGAGTCGTCCGGCCATTGGCCTTCCTCGGCAGCTGCGTAGGGTGGACATAGGAGTCACGGCCTCACGGGGTGGTATAACCATGCCAATTAACTAACTGTGCCGCCCGGGTGAGGCGATGCTCCTTGGTCTCGCGGTGCCTCCTCCAAACACGCTGATCAGTACTAAATGGAGGGAGTAGTTTACGATTTTCACTTTGTCAGACGCGATAATTTATGTACCCAAGTACTCCTAATAATTGTGCGTTTTTTAAAATCGGGATGCTGTTGCCAAGAGGTGCCAGCTGCTACTCGATTGGTTTTTGACCTTTCAGACAAGTCTTGTTTAGTACTCCTTTTTTATCTAAATAAATAGATTCCTAGCTCAAGAATTTATCTACAAATAAATTAATCTCTAGAAGGTTAAATGGTCCACCAGGCCATTTATTTTTCTTGAAATCTCCTCGCATTTACTGCACCCCCTCTCATTTCTCAATCCAGTGTCGAGTTTCAGCAGCTAGATATGTGTAGTAAATGTTATAATTAATGTGTTATCGGAACGATCATCGATTAGTGTGCAACTACTCTATTTAATGAATGGTGGTATAGTCTTTTCTCTGTCATACTAATTTATCCTAAATTTGCCATGTATTTAGGGACAGAGGGAGTCCTATTAATATTTCAGGTTGGTGCCTCTAACCTGACCCTTTATATTTGCCAATTTGCCATCTCAGATCGATGCGCAATTCTGTCCAGTAATTGAGCGCAATAGCAGCCCCACTTCTAGCTTCCACAGCCACAAAAGCAGACGTTGGCTCCAGCGAGAGAGGAATAATAATGGAGGTCGTCGGGATTTCCAAGACGTTGGTTGAAGCCCTGGTGGACAAGGTCAAGTCCGCTATGAAGGAGGCGGCTGAGCAATGGCAAACCCTGCAACGAGATACTGTTTTCATCAAGGATGAGTTCGAGATGATGAAGTCCTTCCTCAACACCGCCGATGAGGAGTTCATGAAGAACCAGGTGACAAGGACCTGGGTGGGGCAGGTCCGCGACCTATCCTATGACACTGAAGACAACATTGAGTTTGTCCTTCACCTGGGCACAAAGCGGTCATGGTGGCCTCGCTTACAGCAGTCCTTCTTACAGGCTCCCTGGAAGGCACGAGTGCTGGCCCTGGACCGAGCGGTTGCTGAGCTGCTCAAGGCCCGAGCTGAGGATGTGAACCAGAGGAACTTGCGCTACAACCCCATCGGCAACTTGAGAGAGCAGATGATGAAGAATTCTGCTGGCAGTGCCAGCCAAAGGACATCGGACATGTTCATCAAGCCGAGACATGGCTTTGATAAACATAACGGCATTTTGGATCTCACCAGGTTGATAACCACAGAGGACAAGGGCCTTGGAGTGGTCTCGGTCTTTGGAACAGAAGGCGATCTTGGGATAGTATCCATCATTAAGAAGGTGTATGATGACCTTGGAGTTTATGAATTAATTAATTACATACATAACTGAGAGGGCCTTCTAAAACATGCTACTCGTTAGTTATCACGAAAGCTGGGAGTGAAAAATTACATGCATAAAAAAGGCTGGCAGTTACCATGCTAATCATAATATGTCACGTCCAAAGTTGCAAAATAAAAAAAAATACCACATCTAATAGATCAATCATGCATCAATTAGATCAAAAAATATTTTTATATCTAAACTTTCTTTCTTTATCCTATTTTCTAAAATAAACAATTAAATAAATATATATTTCATCTATTACCTACTTAGGAAGTAATACATCATTCTAACCATCCGATCTAACTAAATGATCGCAGTCATTTTGGAGTACTGCGGCAAAACCAATACTACGCAAGACAGTATCCTTACAGATTTCATGGAGAGCCTAAAAAGGAAGACATACCTCATCATCCTAGAAGACCTTTCCAGCGTCGCAGAATGGAATGCTATAAGGGCATTCCTGCCAGACCTGAACAATGGGAGCCGGATTATTGTGTCAACGAAGCAGCCTGAGATCGTAAGCCTGTGCATATAGTTTCCAAACGTGCCGGCACGGCACTAGCCCGCCCCGGCACGGCACGCCTGGGCACGGCACGCTAGGCACGGCTAATGAACCGTGCCGTGCCGTGTCATGCCACCGTGCCCGACTCCAGGCCCAGGCACGGCACTATCATTCCTGGAGCGTGCCGTGTCGTGTCGTGCCGACTCCAGGCCCAGCGTGCCCGTGCCAGCCCAGGCACTAAACTGGCCCGTGTCATGGAGTGACCTATCCCATCCTCGTCCGCCATCTATCCGGACTCCGGTTCCTCAACGGCTACCAAAAAACCAAGCAAAACGCAAATATCATAACAAAGAGCAAAGATCAGAGATGAGCTAGGGTTTAGGGTTTGACAATAGGGGGCTCACCTCTACGGCCGGAGCACCGGAGACGCCGAAGAGGTCAACGACGCATAGATCCGGCCTCCTGGTACCTTGACGGCCTCGCCTCGGCAAAAGACCTGCGAAAACAAACAAATCAAACCATTAAAACATGCTTATAAGTCTCAAAACAACCGGATCTGAGAGAGATTAAGAGTGCAACCCACTTACCGGAGCCCCAGAGGTCCTGGCAGCCGACGAGGTCGACGACGGAGAGGAGACTCTGATGCGGCCAAGATGCAGAGGACGAGGCTCAATCGACGTTCAGGGATGAAGATGAGGGGTAAAGATGGCCGTGCCGTGTGCCTGTGCCGGCCATCGGTGGCTCAACCAGCCACCGGAGGGCGAGAAGAAAGAGAGAGAGGCTAGGGTTTCCATCGGCAGGAGAGAGGAGAGCGACGAGAGAATGAGCTAGGGTTCCAGCGCCGGGGGAGCGGCCAGCGGCGGGGAGGATTATATAGCCCTCCTGCCCCCACGGGAGGATCCAATGGCTAGGAGCGGGGGGAGGGGATCAACGGCCGGCAGCCGTGCCACCCTAGTGCCGCCCGTTGGAGCGGGCCGTGCCCGTGCCGGCACTACGGGCCGGTGTGCAGGCCCAGACACGGGCACGGGCCAAGTCGTGCCGCACTGGGCCAGTGCTGTGCTTTTTCGCACCGGGCCCGTGCCGGCCTAGTGGGCCTGGCCCGTTTGGAAACTATACCTGTGCATGGGGCAGCCGTGCCAAGTATCCTTGCTCCGGAAGTTCTCGGAAGATCAGTCTGTGTACGCCTTCTTCACCGATCAGGTAATCTCGGAAAATCCACAAACGTTAACCACTCGAGCTATTTTACAATGGTCGGGAAAGTACCGTTGTACCTCTGGGTTCTTTCATCTTTTCTATTTTTTAATTAATTAATTGAGAAATATATTATAGTGGGTATTTTAGTAATTGAGGTTGTACCCTTTGGATAGGGTGTTGCTGACCCAGCCGCTAGGGCCTAGAAGCCCCCCCCGCGCACTGGGGAGCTCGGGCATCCCGTGTTAGGGCCATATCATCGTGTTCCTGCTGCAGGGTCCGGTCTTCCTCCTCTCGCTCTTGAGCGATCTTTCTGTCCATGGCCTCACGTACGTGCTTGCATCGAGTCAATGTCGAGTGGAACATGTTGGTAATAAAGCACGTTTGCATCCATGCTCCCTGCAGTAACATAATGTTGGATTAACAAATGAACTAATTTTTTCATCAAATGCCTACACAATGATGTTGATTGGTTACGGTAAATCCTAAAAGACTGCAGAAAAAAAATGCAAACGTATGACCAATTTTTTTCATAAGAATCCTAAACAATGATGTGTGCTCACCTATTCACCTGGAAGAAGAGGATCAGCGACCTGTGCAAAGGGCGGAGGAGCCCGGTGGCGTAGGTGCAGACATACGAGATGAATGGCGGCAATAACCTAGAATGACTGATTTATCTTTATTCGAAAATAAAATACAAAAATAAAAAACAGATCCTACCCACATATTTTGGTACTGGCTCAGCCTAACTTGGTACTATCTCTACCTATTTCGTACCTACAGGTACTTTCAGTTGGGTAACTTCTATTTTTTCACCGTCCGATCTCGCCTAATGAACGGTTTATGTTTTTTCCAACTATTATAAAATTTCTCTAACCACTTCGTGTGAAATGTTTTCTTACATGTCACAAGTGTATGGTTTTCTTTTATCTCCCTGTTATATTATTTTAGTATACGATATCCTGCATTGACTAATATAAAATGTTTCTGCTTTTACTCTCTAGAATAATCTTTCTAAACATTCACAGACAGAACTACTACTTTTTTCTTTGGGCATATATATCACTTGATTGCACTACTAAGTGAGCTCATTTACCGGCGTCTTCATGTCACACGCACGACAAACAATACTACTCAGTATCCCATTTTTCGACATCACTGTCAGTTCAAAATCCTTCTTTACTGCTGGATTTTAAATCGGCAGTGGCATATCGACAGTGATGTAGGATTGACATCACTGCCGATTCTTATGAACCGACACTGATGTGGTTTTTAGGAAATCCAAAAAACAGGCTGAAAAAATAAGGAATTTTTTTTAAATTTCGGGAGAGGCCCCATTGGACAACCATACGATCGCGCATCACAAGTCACAAGTCATGCGTTTTTTCACGCGAAAAACACACGCTTGGTGGCCACCGGCGCTCGAACCCCTGACCTCCTACTTCGTGCCTTCGGCCCCTAACCACTCCACCTGAAAGTTGTGTGCGTCCGAATGAGATTTTCGTCCTAACCATTCTATGTTTATCTGATTTTGAAATAAGTATTTGAGACCCTAAACGAATTCAAATAAAAAGTTGTCAACTACAAAGATTTATAACTTTTCGAGATCTACAACTTTTATTTTGGTAGTTTCTCCATCCGAGGTCGTTTACAAAATTTGAATTTCAAATTTAAGAAATTCAAACGTAGTTTTCTACGACAAGATGATTTCAAATTTAAAAGTTATCAACAACAAAGTACCATAACTTTTTGAGATCTACAACTTTCATTTTTGCTGTTTGTCCATCCGAAGTCATTTAAAAAATTCAAATTTTAAATTTTTGAAAATTCAAACGTAGTTTTTCTTGACAAAATGATTTCAAATCAAAAAGTTGTCAGCTACAAAGTTTTATAACTTTTTGGGATCTACAACTTTTATTTTGGTAGTTTCTCAATCCGAGGTTATTTACAAAATTTGAATTTCAAATTTTAGAAATTCAAACGTAGTTTTCTTTGACAAGATGATTTCAAATCAAAAAGTTGTCAACTACAGAGTTTCATAACTTTTCAAGATCTACAACTTTTATTTTGGTCATTTGATCATTTATTCATTCAACATAGTGGTAGTAACATTATTCACAAATATAAAATATCTCTCTTATAGTTTATGAAACTATAAGAGAGATACGTAAATTTTGAGATCAATGTCACTACCACTTTATCGGATGAAGAAAATGATCAAAATAAAAGTTGTAGATCTTGATAAGTTCTACAACTTCTGTGCTCATGACTTTTTCAGCTAAAATCATTTAGCGTTCCAAAATGACGTTTGAAGTTGCCATCTTTTGAAATTCAAAATTTAAATAGATAAAACACAGTCACATGAAAAGATGGATAAAATAATAGCTGTTAGAACACAATAAATTGATAGAACATGATTTTAGAATTTTGTAGGAAAAAAATCATTAAATTTGAAGTTAGTACGAGGGAGAAAGACTAGTTATAAGTTTTAACCAGAGATTAAAAAGAGAAATCAGAGTAATTTTAAATTTTAATTTCAAATAACATTTTTAAATAGTAAATGATTTCAAATTAAAAAGTTATCAACTACAAAGTTGCATAACTTTTTGAGATCTACAACTTTTGTTTTAGGCGTTTCTCCATCCGAGATCGTTTGAAAAATTCAAATTTTTAATTTGAGAAATCAAACATAATTTTCGTTAGATAGATTATTTCAAATAAAAATATTTGAATATCCAAATGATCTCAAATTAAAAAAGTTTCAACTATAAAGTTGTAGATCCCGTCGAGTACTACAATTTTGATATAAAGTTTGTCTTAATCGGACATCATTTGAGAAACTTATGAAGTTTTCTTGCAGCATATCACTGTCGGTTCAAGCCACGAACAAACAGTGATAGTATCAGTGTCGGTTTTTGGCTAAAACCGGCAGTGATGACCCAATATCACTGTCGGTTCTTGGCTAAAACCGACAGTGATATGAACTGACAGTGAAGATCCGAATATCAGTGTCGGTTGATCCTATTACTGTCGGTTTTAGCAAAAAACCGACAGTGATAGACTATCACTGTTGGTTTCTTAAAATCCGACAGTGATGAGGCCGACAGTGATGTCCAATTCTGTAGTAGTGACTTTGATAGTTTGATTGGTGGTTCTTGTGTTGAGGTCAACGAGAGGACTTTTGTATATTCTAGATCTCAGGGACATGTGTTCACCATCGGATAACACGCTTGCTTGGATTGCATGCTATATATGGAGCTAGCTAAGCAATGCTTTCATTAAGCTTAACTCGTAATTTTTCTATATGATATCTGTTTTAATCTTGGAGAGAAAATATGAATAAGATGGTTAAGTTGTGAAGGCTATATTTTCGGAGAGAGGTTTTTGATTTTTTTTTAATGTCCACTCCTTGCATCTAGTATTCATTCAGCCCGTGGCTCTTCCTTTTCCATTTCCCAGTGGTTACGTTCATCTAGAGTGTAGAGGGCATCCTGACGACGATGGGCACTGGCAACGTTGTTCTAGAGGGGCAACGGCAATCTAGCGTAGCGACCCTATATTGATGCAGGGTGTGGAATCACCTGAAATCATCGTATATCCAACCACGCAGAAGGAATTCTTCGTTCCTCTGACCAACCCTCCTTGATTCTTTTTTTTTCTCTAATAATTATTATGAGACACAGTCGGTGGGTCCCTTCTGGCCAATTCTCTTCTCTCCCACCTCATCAGTTGTACTATTTTGGCCTAAGAACGGCTCCAGTGTTGAGTCAAATCGAAATGTGGGAGGGCAAAAACAAACAGAAGTCAGCCGCTCGCATCGAAAATCAAACCTTCAAACTTGGTTCAACTACCTGGAGCTTTTGTTCCCCCTCCAATCCCAACAAAAAGAACAAGATGAAGGAAAGAAGAAATTGATCCACATACAGCTTTTGACAAAGCCAGTGAACAGATTGCAAAACTGAGTCCGTGTTAGAGCAACTCCAACAGTTTTGCAAATGAGGTTGGCATCCTTGAAAATTTGGCAAAACATGCAAAATTCCTCTCCAACAGCTTGGCAAATGAGGTTGGCAAATTTACGAGCTTGGCATTCTACCCCTCCGCGTGCGTATCTTTCCGCGCGCGGACTCCACTCCGCATCCCTCCCCCGTGCGTCGCTGGCATCGTTCCCGCGCGTGAGACGAACTTTCACCTCCTCCTTCCCGCGCCCAGCTGAGCCCTCGCCATAAAGATCGCGCGCCCGCCCCAATCCTCGCAACCCTGCATCGGCGACGGACTCCACCTCCCCTGGCGGCCGCGATCTCCCTAGCTGCATCGGCGACGCGGCATCAACAACCCCTGGTATGTGGCCGCGATCTTCCCCTGCACCATTGACGAACTTCGGCAGCTGCTAGGGTTTAGGGTTTGGTCCTCTGCTTGTGCCATGTATCGATGATGTCTAGCCCAGCACCAAACTAAATCTGCCGAGTAGGGCTAGCAGCCGAAGACATGAAAAACTGCCTCTAATCACCTCCAATCCAGCCAAGTCTACTAGTATTTGGATTAGATGCACATATACTGGTATAGTAGTATATAGTAGTATCTCGCATGCAGGATAATATATGCCGTACAGAATACAGATCATATGTGCTGCAATTGTGACAGGAGTTGGTGATCATGTTCTTGATTAGCGTAATGATTGTATATATATATATATATATATATATATATTCTTTCCTGAGTATTCATTCATACAACATATACATATTCTTTCCTGAGTTTTCAATCGGTGGTGATCATGTTGATGTGTGGGTAATTTCAATTGTGCAGTAATATGCGTGTTCACATTTGTCATATTTTTTGTAGACTCATTGAAATGGATGGAGATGGTTTTTTGTCGGACATTCTTCTCGATGGACGTGATGCTGAAGTTGGAGGCTTGTACGACCTCACCATTCCTATGACACAAGACACTCAAGAAGTCGATGCGCAAGTGCATCCAAGTCGCAGTACAAGTAAGGGATCGAAAAGGTCAAAAAAATTTCATTGGAAGGAAGACGAAGTTGTATGCGCCGCCTGGTTGTACGTTAGCAAAGACCCCATCAACGGGGCCAATCAAGCTCGTGGCACATTTTGGGGTAGAGTACGTGCATACTTTGAGGACCACAAGGAAACCGAAGCTGTGCGGACAGAGAGTTCGATTATGCATAGGTGGCTTACAATTCAGCATCAAGTGAACAAGTATTGTGACTGCTACGAGGCGGTTGAGCGTAGGAATCAGAGTGGACAAACTATTCAAGACAAGGTATATATGTAATTTGTGTTCAATCAGTACCTTAAATTTGTTTTTTTTGAAAAGGTATATATATTGACCAATTCCCTGGACAGATTTTAGAAGCATCAAAGATGTACACCGGATTAGACAAGGACAAAAAGCAATTTACTCTTCTACCTTGTTGGAACATATTGAAGGAAGAAGACAAGTGGAAAGCCAAGAGGATTGAAATTGCTGAGATGGATAAACAAGCAGCAACCAACAAAAAACAGAAGTCCACAAAGGTGTCTAGGCCAAGAGATGAAAAAGGCACCAGCAATCAACAAGGTAAAGATGATGTTCCTCAAGAAACCCAAGCAAGGAAAAGGGCAGATGGGATAAAAAAGGCAAAAGAAAATCTTTGGCGAGGAGGTGGGGAAGCTTGCTTGGCTGCGTTGGACACGATGTGGGCAAAGAAGGAGGTTTCTGACAAGGAAAAAGAGAAAGCAAAACAGGAGAGGTTCATGGCGTCAATTGAGCTAGATAAGGAAGCACTGGAGCTAGAGAAGAAGCGCGCAGCAACTGAAGAGAAAAGAGCTGAAGCGGAGTTGATCAAACAGGAGAAAGAAATTATGTTTGCGGACACGACCTCCCTCAACCCGCTGCAGCGTGAATGGCTTGAGACGATGCAGAAGGAGATTGTTGCTAGGCGTGTTGCAAAATAAATTTAGTTGGTGTCAAATCATGGTTCAAGTACCTTTAGTTTGTTTTTTAGTTCATCCGAACCTTTATTTATTCATCTCATGTTTAGCTAATATTGTTTTGTCCATCACTATAAAATATAAATGACATAAAATTATTATGTAGCTAATATAAATCTGGATGATGGTTCTATAGGTGTTCGATGAGGTCTTCTTTCATTTGCACGTGTGTTTCCTTGTTTCTGATCATTCTTTGCGCCTCAATATATTCATCAAGTGTACGAGTACCCCGGCCATGAGCAGGTTGGACATTCTCACCACCATAATCAAAACGCTCGTTAGGGTCGACCACGAATCCTTCATCTTCCACAATCATGTTGTGCATGATCACACAAGCCCTCATGATCAATGCTAACGTCTCAATGTCCCAAAAACGAGCTGGTCCTCGAACAATGGCAAACCTAGATTGAAGAACCCCAAAAGCTCTCTCGACCATCTTCCTCGCTGCTTCTTGCGCTTTGGCAAAATATTGCCTCTTGTTCCCCATAGGAAGAGTGATGGACTTGACTAAAGTAGCCCATGACGGATATATACCATCTGCAAGATAATAACCCATATTGAAGTCATGGCCATTAACGGAATAGTTCACTTCTGGAGCTCTACCTTCCGCCAGGTTATCAAACAAAGGAGATCTATGAAGAACATTGATGTCATTATGAGACCCGGGCATTCCAAAGAAGGCATGCCATATCCAAAGGTCGTTCGAAGCATCAGCCTCCAAAATTATAGTGGGCTTGTTCATATGCCCCTTGTACTGACCCTGTTTATCATATGGACAATTCTTCCACGCCCAATGCATACAATCGATGGACCCTAACATTCCTGGAAATCCTTGTTGCTCACCCAATCTAAGTAAGCGTGTTGTGTCCGCCTCATTGGGATATCTGAGGTATTCATCTCCAAAAATTTTAACAACTGCAGTAACAAACCTACGTAGGCTCTCAAGTGTAGTACTTTCGCCAATGCGAACGTACTCATCTGTCGCATCAGCTGGAACCCCATAAGTGAGCATACGCATTGTGGCGGTGACTTTTTGGAAGCAACTCAATCCAAGAACGTTGGCCGCATTCCTTTTCTGCACAAAGTACTCATCGTGTGCTTCAACAGCATTCATTATGCGTAAGAAAAGTTCCCTAGACATCCTGTACCTGAAGAAAACAAAACTAAAGTTTGACAACTCTAATAATATTTGAGCACATAAAACAAATTAATCCGAAGTTGAAGAACAACAACCTTCGACGGAATATTTCGAGGGCCGTATGTTGGATTGTCCGCCAAATAATCTCGAAACATCCTGTCATGGCCACCTTCTCTATCCCGGTAAAGAACTCTATGACCTTCGACAGAGCCACCGTGTCTTCCTTTGTCATTGGAAAAGGTTTGCACAATTCGAGCAGCCGATAATATCAGGGAGTCATCGTCATCGGATGATGAATCATCCAATTGTCTTCGCGCACGGGACCTCTTCCTAGGCATGATTCCCAGGGCCGGCTGGTGGAGGAGATGGGCGGCACACAGGGAGGAAAAGATGCCGACACAGGGAGGAGGAGATGGCCGGCTTCTGTTGGTGTAGGCCGGCAACGGGAGAGGAGAAGGATCTGCAACGGGAGAGGAGAAGGATCGGCGTTTTGCGTGGCGGCGTGGAAGAGGAGATCACGACCTCTCCTTCGTGGCGGCCTCCTGTGCGTGACGAAGGAACCCAGGCGCTCGACCTCCCCACGTACCGGTCAAGAGAAAAATATTGGTGGGCCCTTCTTTTTTTAGTTTTGCCAAGTCAAAAATAGGGAACTCTTGGAGAAGGTCTATTTTTCACTTGGCATATATTTTAGCAAGTTGCCAAATCACAAGATTTGCCAAGTTAATTTTGGCAAACTCTTGGAGATGCTCTTAGGTACCTCTCCTGACTCCGCTTCGCCTACAGCCTCTCCGCTTCGTGAACCAAATAGAAAAAGGAGGAACAACTTCACCTGCTTGCCTGGAAATCACGCTGAGAGAGAGCTGAAGAATGCCAGGGGAGCTAAAAATTGTACCATTCCCCAGCTTCATCCTCCGTGCGTGCAGGCCCATCCCAAACTAGCCCTCCACTGTGGGGACGTGGGTGTGGGCGACGCTCGGAGACGAAGCTCAATGGAGCCGGTGTCAGTGTCCATGGAGGGGCCCCGTTCGCTGGTCTGAAACTTGGCTGAAACTGATTGGTTTTGTGAGAGAGAAACACGATAGCGGCTGGTTGATGAACAGTGTTTTGTGAGGGGAGTTAGCCGGCTGGTCTGGACCATCCAGACCAGCGAACGCGCCCAAAAAAGGAGAGAGGGGTGCGGGCCACCGAGCCAGAGGAGGGAGAGGGCGGCAGCATGTGGGACCAGGGATGGCTGGGGCTCCTAACGGAAGGGGCGACGTGCAAGACTAGGACAGGGCTCCGAGCGGGAGGGGAAAGGCAGGAGGGAGAGGGCGGGGCTGCCTATGGGGCAGGGCTCTCGGTGGGAAGGGCAAGGCAATGGTGAGAGAGGGTGGGGCGACGTGCGGGACTGGTCTCCCGGTGGGAAGGGCGAGGCAGAGGAGGGAGAAGGTGGGGCGGCGTCTGGGGCAGGTCTCTCGGTGGGAGGGGCAAGTCAGAGGAGGGATAGGGCGGGGTGGCATGTGGGGTAGGGCTCCCGGCAGTAGGAGCGAGGCAGAGGAGGGAGAAGGGTGGGGCGGCGTGAGGGGCATGGCTCCCAGTGGGAGGGGCGAGGCAGAGGAGGGAGAGGGTGGGCGGCATGCGGAGCAGGGCTCTCGGCGGGGGAGGAGGGGAGAGGGTGGCACAATGTGTGGGACGAGGGAGGGGCAGCGAGGTGCGATGGGGGATGGGAGGGCCTCCCAATAAGAGGGACGAGGCAGAGGAGGGAGAGGGTGGAATAACGTGTCAGACCACTGAGGGGCAGTGAGGTGTGGCGAGGGACGATCAGGCCTCTCGGCAGGAGGGGCGGCATGTAGGAGGGGAGGCGTGGGCAAACGGATAAGGGAGAGGGAATAGAAGATAGTCCATACAAGAGGGGAGAAGGAAAGAAAATAAATAAATAAAGAAAATAGAAAGGAAAAAATAGAAAGGAAAAAAGAAGGGTACTATGGACATTTTCCCCTTTTATCTAATAGGAGAAGTTGTTTTACCAAACGTTTTCTAACCCGAGGAGCTAGAGCCATGAAGAACTGCTCCACCATAGAAGCCATAGCTGAAGCTAGAGCTCTACCAAACATGCCCTGAAAAAGAACTCAATCCATGTAAATTGATCCACCCGATATCACCTTCTTTTCTAGTGGTGGTGGTAGAGGTGGTGGTGGCTCACCGACACACCCACCACGTGCAGCTCGATGGTGCTGCCATGTGCGGTTCTCCAATGTCCAACGAGTCGTCCAGCAAGAGTGCAAGTCGATAGATAGTTCGGTTCGTTCCAACTGATATGTGTCTGTGCGCGCGTGTAGAAATCATGTTTCATGAGCGTCCATTCCAAGCGAATGCTCTCTTTGGTCCACCTTATCTCTTTTTTTCGTTTCTTTTCTCCGGCACCTTCTCTCTTCCTACCGGTCGCTATGCTTTTTTAGAGATATTTAATTTCCTACCACAATTAGCAGTGACCAGTCTTGAAATTCCAGCGCTAGAAGGGCTCATATAGATTTGGCACTAAATAGAGAATTCGAACATTTTACTCACGTGGCGGTCCAAGTCACCCCTCCAGCCAAGTAGGGGCATGTGAAAAAGACATCCCTGCCCCTACCTTATCCTTCACCTCTGGGCATTCTTCTTGTGAAGGGTGAGTTCTGAGGGGCTCCCTCTTCTTCAACGCGGGCATGCATTGCAGGGCTGATATGTAGGATAAGGTAGAGACATGGAGGTCTTTTTGTGTGCCCATATGACGCTCGAGGGGTGACTTACACCACCACAAAGGAAAAATATCCAAAAATTGAAACAGTTTCCTTCTCTAGTAACAAATATGTTGGAGACCTTCTAAAGCTGGCATGTTAAGAGTGGCCACTTCTAAATGTGGCAAAAAAAAGTAAATATCTCCTCTCTTTTTTCCACTGACTGCTGTCTTAGAACCTATTGTGCGGGTAGTAGTTGAGTTGTCCAGTGGAGAGGATAGAAGAAGATGACGAAGCAGCGGCGGTGTGCAGGCCCTGCAGGTGAGCCATGTGGCGATCCCCTTCTCTCTAACACACATCTGAGTGGTCAGGCGGCGGAGCTCGCGCTAGACGAGTTTGTAATATTTTTCCTAATCTGTTGTGCATATATTATTTTCTTTCCCCGGTTTTGTGTTATAATTTTTATTTCAGTAACTTTTTGTTCTAACCAAGGGTTTTACTTGATTTCATACTAGATGAAAAGAAACAACTAACAAGACGTGCACTTATGTTTATCTGTTGTTCTCTACCTATACAAACCCACAGAGTGTTTTGCAATATAAAGCCAGTCATATAAGTGAGGAAAAACTACACTAGGAAGGTAAAGCCACACAAACAAAGCACATATGAAAACCTAAATGTAGTATGTAGAGAGCTCATCAAGTAAGAACGTGCAAACTCCCTAGACAAGGCGATGCATCCCACGGGGTCGTTTGCCAAAATATAAGCCGTAATCCATGTTGAAATTCCACTGAGGTACACTTCTGGTCACCAAGATTTTGCGCTGTCAGTGTTGAGGTTGCCACAAAGGTCTCCGCCAACCACAACAAGTGCTGCAAGCCACTCAAGTTCACCGCCGCCACTCGACTCTTCCGGTCATCTTGGGTCTGTCCACAATGAAGTTTCTCCACCAAGGAAGGGTGTTTTCATCTCTTGCACACCAAGTTGTCAACGCTCCACACAATGCTTGAAGGGTCAATGTAATTGACAAAGAGGCACAAAGCCTCAAAGTGTTCCAGCGCACCAAGGTTACATGGGAACACTGTCGGTCTCTCTCTTGTTCGCAATCTAAGGCCTATCACTCATTAGTGATGCCACTAAGCACAATCCCTTGGATATGATCACTGAGTGCTCATATGGATGGGATATGATGACTAAGGCCTGAAGGTACTCTGCCAACACCTTCCAAACAACTAGGTGAATGAAGTATATTATCGGCGCTTCACCTAAAACTAGTCATTGGCAAAGGCTGGCATTTTTTATAGACACCAGACAGTCCTGTGGTACTCATTTGCTATCACCGGATCATCTAGTGACCACTAACCGTTGAACTAGATATTGCTTCTTCTATTGATGGACGTCATTCCACTAGTGTGTTGCCCATCACCATCGCTGGATCGTCCGATGAAGTCATTTGTATAGTGACTTTGCCTCTTGACGTCACTAAACCAAGTCTAACTATCCATCGTGTGTAATATCCTGACTGCTGATCGTCCGGTGAAGAATATTCCCTGAAAGCTTCATCAGCTTCTGTCAATTGTCTGTCCATACACCTGATTGTCCAATGCTAGTGTTCCTCATAGTCAGACCATCCAGTGAACTCTTTTGCACAGTGAAAGAACCCCTGACGGGTCTGGTGTGTGTTATCTCCTCATCGCCGGAAGGTCCATTGTTCACAAATTGCTTTTTTTATATCTTTGATTATGATAAACTTATCAATTATATTGATTCATACATTTTTCAATCTACATCTATAGATCTTCTTATCAATTTTGATATTATTAATTTATGTGGGTTTTTTATCCACACATTAGGTTGAAACTCTTGTGCTTGTCGTACCTTTTGTTCAAATATCTCAATTTGTGTTCTATTAAAAATAAGGATTGTGAATTCTAAACTGCATCATAAGGCATAGACAACCATTTTACTCCACGACCCTCGAGATCAGTTGTAGAATTTGGAGTCAGATCTAGAAGGACCTGTAATGCAAATAATCCTCATGATGATATTCATATTTATATAATCCTAATAATCGTTGTTTACTCTAAAGGAATCTTAAAAACCATGAACCCATGGCTATCTATGTACTAACCTTCTTCATTGCTAAAGATGTTGAACTTTATGTATTAAGTAATAATAAGTATAGCCGTAGTTTTTTAACAAAAAATAATGTTTACTACTACATTATTAATACAGTAATGTCATAATATTTAAGTCAAAATGTATAGATTTGTCTAATGTAACAATTTAAATAAATTATTGTTATTGGTACTAATTAATATAATTTAAACTACTACTTTACAATTTAGACTAGTATGTGAGTCATTAAGGGAACATTTTTTTATGATTGCTAAAATGAGAAACATATGTTCATTACTCATGCATGCACATATATACTCAGATCAACAGGATCACAGGTCATGTATATTTACTTTAAGGTAGTTGTTTAATATTAAGAGTGACAAAAGTGACTAATCTATATAGAAATAATATAGATGTAATGTATGTTTTTTTTTGTTTTCATAAAAGGAGATATATATTGGTATTTAGATATTGATTTGTGGGCTGTTTTATTATTTTTATATTTGTAGAGTGGGTAATTTACATCTAAAGGTTTACTTAGATTATCTGTCATAATGGAAGTGTTAGTAATTTAGAAATAAATTTAGTTTTTAAAAAATATATATTTCATAAGCACAGAGGAGGTAATTTTGATAGATATTTATTACTAGGAGGTTCAGTGCGTAATTCTTTTATAAAATAAAACATAATTGATCCGTTGGCTATTATTGTCGAATAGCATTATAAAATTCGTCGGGAGGGGTCACTAGTCCGGTGCGTTCAAATTAGTGGGCTTCAGTCATGTGTGTGATAGATGTTTCTCGCATGTTTCCTTCTGTAACGTATACGTTGGCCCAATCAAGCACGCTTAGCTTACGATAAAAAGCCTCTTGTCATTTCAGGTGATGAGGTGGGCGATCTCGAAGTTGCAGTTGCAGGGAACGGCCCCTCGCCCTCTTGGTAAAAATGATTCCTGCCCTCTCGTCGCGCACGAACCTGAAGCAAACGAACTTATAGAGCAGATAAACTTGGCACTCACCAGCGAGGCACATCGTGTGGTCTCAGTGTGCGGGATTGCTGGTGTTGGGAAATCATTTCTTGTAAAAACCCTCTTCAACGACCCTCAGAGTCCAGCATGGAAGTTCATGATGAACGGTTGGGTCAATGCACCCCATCCGTTCGATATCGTGGACATGTGTATGAGTATTTACGGCTTCACATCCGATGGCAGAATTGAACACTACCCACCAGCCGAAGGCGAAGATATCGTTCTATCGTGGTGGGATCTACTGGAACTACGGCAGTGGCTTCTTGTTATTGACGACTTAGGGTCCATGGAAAATTGGGACGTGATAAAAGCTAACTTGATCTCAAGGGCTACCAAGAGCTGTATCATTGTTATTACAAGGGATGAAAGTGTTGCCAGACATTGTGCAACATCAGATGATGCAGTGTGCATCCTCAAAGGTCTAGAAGCTGATAAGGCCCATTGTCTCTTCGAGGAGGTGCGTCCTTAACCCGAGCCATGCATGCTCAGACTAGACATATACTAGCCTTCTTAGTATATGTGTCTTAATGATTGAATGAATTATTAAAACCAATGGCGCCTTGCGCATTTTATTTTGATGAAGCAAACCGGAGGGTTACGCCCTGGATTTATTTTTCTTTTATTAATTGAAATTGTATATTATTTTCAACTAAAACAATGATGAATTAAACAAACATGCTAACCCAACTGTAGCCTCAATCAAGTGTTCCCTTTAATCTAGATATTGTAAATTGTTTCTACTGAATTGAAGTTGTTTCTACTTATTTGATTCTTGTAATGCTAATGAGGGTAATATATATTGTCCTTTTTGAAATTTTATTCTTTTAGAGTCCATCATTGTTGTTAGAAATTTCCTTTGAAATTAAATTCCAAGACTTTGATATACATATGTAAATTGAGTACAGAATAATATTTCCACCAAACATCTCCATTCAATTAGTGATGACTGTGTATTTAATTTAGCGCAGGGATAGCTTAGCTTCTATGAATTAGTGTTAACTAAATATAAATCGATAGTCCTTTTTAATTTAAATAGTGCACTTCTTTTATTCTCCATGAAACAGGTAATTAAAGACCTTCGCCAAAAAAATAAGGCAACTAAAGATGCTGGAACCTCCAATCCGGATCCTAATATGATGGAGGATGCAAGCTTTATCATAAATAAGTGTGGAAAACTTCCCAAATTAATAGTTGCATTAGCCAACTGCTTCGACAAAGCACCAAACATCTTACAGGAGATGCGCCTGAATGCAAACTTCATGTATGAGTTGAAGACCAACAAAGGGCTTGACAGCTTTCGGGACGTATTCACCACGATCTATTCAAGCTATCAAACCTGTCCCCACCGCCTCAAGAAATGCATATTCTATCTGTCACTTTTTACTCAAAGCACCATAATTCGGCGGAGTCGTTTGGTGAGGAGGTGGATTGCAGAGAGCTATTGTGAGGGCCTTGACAGCAACAGCAAGGTGGAGTACACGGAGAAGCTCTTGGACAACATTGCCACCCTGGGCATCATAGATAAGCCGCCACAGACATCATCTTCCGTTGCCGGTTGCATGAGAGGGACTGCATGCCATGTCAACTCTTTGTTCCTTGACTACATCATCTCACAGGAAACGAAAGAGAACATTTTCCTTCCACTGGAAGTAACTGTACTGCAGGGACAGTGCAGTCTGAACATACAACGTGCAGGACAGCACTTGGCCATTGGGAGCAGCTGGAAGGGAGACAAGTTTGTGCTCGACAGCTTGGACTTCTCACGGCTACGGTCTTTGACGGTTGTTAGAGAGTGGAGGTCATTCTTCATATCTCACAGGATGAGAGTGCTTCGTGTGCTCGATCTGGAGGAGACAAACGTCAATGATAATGACGTGGAAAAAATGTTGGTGCATCTACTTTGCCTCAAGTTCCTCTCTCTTAGAAGATGCACAAAGGTTTCTCTTCTCCCAGAATCCTTGGGTGCCTGAATCAGCTCCAGACTCTGGATATCAGACACACCTGTATTGACAAGGTTCCAGTTGGCATCAGCAAGCTGCTGCAGCTGCAGTATATTCGTGCTGGCACCAGTGTAGCGCTGATGGATGAGGAGCCATCAACAACAAGGAGGAGTAGGTATGGACATGTTTCTGCTTGTGATGGCGTCAAGGTGCCCAAAAGGACTGGAGCACTCGTATCCTTGCACACGCTTGGTGTTATTAACGTCAGCACCATAGGTGGTAAGAACATTCAGTGTTCAAGAACCTGACCCAACTTCGCAAGCTTGGAGTGTCTGGCATCAATAGGAGAAACATCAAGGGGTTCCTTTCTGCTATTGAGGGGCACGTCCATTTGGAATCGCTGTCACTGCAGCTCCACATGGACGAGGATTTGGAGTGGTTGGATAAATTCACCACCCCAAGGAATCTACAGCGACTTAAGATGAAGGTACATGTAGAGAAGTTCCAACACTGGAGCTGCCTAAAGGTCCTTGGTCAGATAAGAAGGTTACAAGTCCTATGCCTTCATTTAAAAGCAGACCAAGATGTTGAACTCCAATTTTGTGATACACTAGATGGTGCGGCGTGGTCTACACCCAACCAATTCTGTGAACTCAAAGTCCTAGAGATTGCTTGCAGCTCCAACTTACAAGTGAAGTTTGCCGACAGAGATATGAAATTGCTTGAGCAGCTCAAGGTTCGTTCGTTGGATGGGTCGTCATTGAATTTTTCTGGGCTAAAGCACACGTCTTCACTCAAGCATGTTTGGCTCAAGGGATCATTTGACGACACACTGATGCAAGAATTGCTGCAGAAAATTGCCCAGCATCCGAACAGACCTACTCTGAAGATGGACGAACCGCGTTCAAGTTGATAGGTACTACCTACATGGCTACATCCCGAAAAGGATGAAATTCTAAATATGGTTAAAGTCAAATTAACTAAAGTTTGATTAACTTTACACATAGGAAATAATATCAACATGTATGACTCCAGATATGGATACTATGAAAATATATTTAATGAAGAATCCAATGATACTCATTTAGTATGACAAAGAATAGTATATTTTTATAGACTTAGGCAAACTACAGATCATTTTACCTAGCACTATCCTAGAATTGCATCCTTTCTAAGACGGAGTGAGTACTTTTGGGATGTTGATTCTGTCCGTCATCATCATATCCCTGGTGTTTGCCAAACAATCACGGCCAGTTTTGTTTATCGTTTCCATTTTATCTCTCTACTAATGTTATCCAGTGTTGTCAATGGACAGGAGCATACCAAATGTCTTCGTCCGCCATCGAACCTAAAAAACTGCTGCATCCCAATTCGCCCCTATACAGAACTACTGAGGGGCTCTGGCCGGCCGTTCTCAATACTATCCTTTGGTGACTTTGTGGCGTGCCGCGCGCGCAACGGCTCAATTTTCCGCAATGAACACCTATCTACTCATGGAGTGTTGAAACTAGTTGGCGTTGACTCTGTTCTCTGGGACAAACGCTTCTATCCTGACTCTCTCCAAGACGAATGGTGCCGATGGGCGATGGTGTATATGTATCTTCAAAACTGTAACCTTATGCCCCATGCCTAGTTAGGGTTTAAACTTTATTCTTGTACTCTTATTATTTATCAAAAAACCGAGGTGGGGATCCTCCCCGCATGCTTAGTTGACTTAAAAAAATACTTTTTCGATAAGGAAAAAGCTTTATTAATTTAAAGATCGTTACATCGAGATGATACAAAGTCTTTAAAACACACTTCCGGCCTCTCTATTACTAGGATACACCAAGCCTTACAAACGATCTTAAAAAAAAAATTAGACAGAAAGGCAACCAGAGGGGGGGTTGAATGGGAGCCGATCAAAGTTTCTATCGAAATGCCCGCTGTCCCAAATAACTCTCCAAAACACCAAAACACATAAAAGTGATGCCCTCGAGCCAACTGGTGGCTGGATGTTCTCGGTGATGACCGAAGAACACAGCGGGACACTCACCACAATAGAAAACCAAGCGCAATACTGAAACACTCCAAAAAATCGAAACCGGAGCTCTCAACTTCAATCACAATGAAGCAAGAGTCCGACTCAAAATCCTCTAAGCCAACTGGTGACTTGAGGACTGAGAAAAGATCCTGGGCACTGCAGGACTCCCACAGAACAAGCAAAAACAAGAGCAAATCAAGGAAATGCCTCGGGACCACCAGAGGTCAATTATCAGCCCCTAGAACGCGGAACATCAGCGCTTGAACACGAAAGTTCAGCGCGCGAATGCAGAACTTCCTTGTTCCAATGCGGAAGTTGGCGGAAGTTCCGCGCTAGCGCTGCTTGTTTTCAGCAGCCCGAGCCAACAAAGAAAAAGCCAAAACTCGATCAAACGAACTCCGATTAAGCTCAAATTTTGTGGAGTTGTTCCTAAGGAAGTTTAGAAACAATCCCCATAAGATCAACACCAAAAGATCAAGGGAACTCCGTAGATCGAGATTCTCCCGGACCGGATTGGGGTTTTCTTAACTTTACTAAAAATCACGCCATATCGTGCTCGTGAGGAATCTGACCAAATGAGTTGGTAGACATGTTCCTCTAAGGTCCTTGCATGTTTCTAGCCACCTCAATCGGTCTCAAATCTCCAGAAAAATGAAATGACCCAAAACGCAAGAGAAGGGGGTTCGGAAGAGGAAAACCCAAACAAAACAAGAACTCACTTGAGCCACGAATTTCAGAGGTCAACAAGAACATGACATGCATAGAAATGAGGTGTCACTTGTGGAGTTTCCTTGGCCCCACAAATCAGGCCACCTGTTGCCATTTTGTGGGAAAGGGAAGCCAGGCACCAGCATACTCCCTCTCTCACTCTCCACTCACTCTCACACTCATACTCTCTCTAGTTCATCTCTCTCTCTACACTCTCATACACCAAGAAGGAGCAAGGGAAAGGGAAGGAGAAGGATTGGAGTGTAACACCTCTGGTGTTATGAGTTTGCTTAGCACCTAGGTTAATGCCTAAGAGAAATTAGCAAAACAAGTTTTCGGGTTTAAAAGTTTAAAGCACACATGGAATTATAAACGAATCTTGTGTGACTCTCTTTCATGAATAAAACAAACAAATAAGTGTCGCTAGTCAACTTGTCTCGGTGCTTAATAACTTTTAAATAATCTTGTGGACAAAAGTTGTTTAGGGCTTGTTTTGGAAAAAATATGAAGCCTGATAGCAAATAAATAGTGAATGGCTTGTTTATTTGGTTAAGCATGAAAAATAATTTTTATTAACAAAATTTGTTGAAAGTAAAATTTGCTAAATAATAAAACCTTAAAGCTTTAGTTATGCTTGTAAATGCTTAAAGTTGTTTTAGAAAATGAATTTTTGGAAACTAAAATAATATAAAATATAAATAGGAAAAATTATATCATCGGTAAGATGAACATCGTGAATATGTTGGTGTGCTTGTTCGAGTGTCAATGTGATGTTTGTTAGTTTAAAAATAATAACGAAATTGCCGCTGGCCACTCATCTCACCGACCTCGCCGGTATGACGCGCGCATTATGAGATAGGACCGAGCTTGCTAGCCTTGCCGGCTGCTTGCTCTCCCTCTCTCTGCTGGTCTTGCCACTTACTGCTCTCTCTATCTCCCTCTCTCGCTCTGTTGCTGCCCGTGTCCTTGCCACGATGCCTGTCGGTCGTCTCGTGCATTCACATGTCTCGTCTCAGCCCGGTTGGCACATGCCTTGCTTTGTCCTTGCGGCCGCGGTTAGTGGAGAAGAGCTTTTGTTAATACAGTGCTGCCCGCATCTTGAACTGGTCCACTGCGCAGGGGCGTCAGAAAGGGGAGCACATGGTTCTACCCCTGCCCACGCCGTGTCCTCTCACTTCCCTGTGCGAGCGCAGGCGCGCCGCTGCCGGCCACGTTGCGCCGTCCTGCCCTCCCCCCTCATAGCGGAAGCGCGTGTGAGCTCCATGGTCCCACACTGGACCACAGCTCTCAGCGCCGCCGTGGCACGCCGTCCGTCGCCCGGCCCTCGCGAGAGAGCGCGAACCTCCACGGCACCCCCAGCCTCTCCTCGCCGCATCGCCACGTGGAAGACCTCACCGGGAACCGACTCAAGGCCGCGCCCTCCTCTCCGGCCAATTCCGTCGCACAGTCACTACGCGCGTGAACGTGCCCGAGCCCCGCGTCACCCCCGTACCACCACCTCGTCGCCGGCGCGCCCTCACCACGGAGCCGCCCGGTCCCGAGCGCCGACGCACGTGGCCGGGGCTCCACGCTCCAACTCTGGCCGAGCCACGTCCACCAGCGGGTGCGCATGGCAGCGGGCATGCTGTGATGTTGCCTCCCCACCGTCGTCGGCGACCTCAAGGCCGAATTCGGCCGCCAACCGGTTCCCCTGCTCGTGCTCTACTTTTGAGAAGGGAGAGAAGGGAGAGTATTAGAATAGGAGCTTTTTCAGGGTTCTCAATGTAATTTTCGTGACTCACATGAATAGTGCTAATGTCCTTCGGGTGGATTAAGTAAAAGTAAAAGGGCCTCGGTGCAAATTGGTGTCGCTGCCACTGGGTTTCCCACCGTGGGCCGGACTGTTGGGCCGCTCGCCCTACGCCTCTGCGGCCGTGGCCTGCTCGGCGCCCCGCATGGGCCGACCTTGTGCCACCCGCGCCTGGGCCGCGTGCGCGCGCTGTGCGCCTGGGTCGCGCGTCCGCGTGGGCCGATTTGGTGGCCGCTGGCCCTTTTAGTTTTTTAAAGCAATTGCTAATTTAGTTTCAGAAATAAACTTGTAAAATAAATATAAATTTGTGTAGTTGTCCAAAATTTGTGAAACCAATTTTATTAGGCTCCTAAAATCATGATCTATCTATTAGCGTAATTGGTTCATCTAGTTGAAAATGTTTCTAGGTTTGCTCTAATTATTTTAAAATGTTTAATATTGTTAAAATATGAACTTGTGGGAATTTTTGTGAGAAAAGGGTGATAGTGTTGACTCTAAAAATTTTACAGTAAATGACTAATATTATTAGCTGCTCAATGTAATTTTTGTAACTCCAGAATAATTAGTTTGCTAGATAGATAATGATGCCCTATTTCGAATAAAGATTAAATCGATAGAATGAAATAAAGAAACACATTGGAATTGTATAACTAAAACACTTGTTGGGAGATGACACCTTTCTCAACGATGTTGATACATAGATTAGTACGTTAGTCGTTAGAACTAGCTCGATAACTTGAAAGGCATAAATCGTATTTTACGAGTCACGGTTGTAGTTGATTAATTACGTCTTTGCATTGCATCACATTGCATATCATAATAGGGACGTCGATAGATCGCAGAGTCATCGGGAGTTGCTGGAGAAATGATACTTTTGGAGATCGTGTTGCCATGATGGAAAGCTTACTTCTGATTAAATCTTACCCAGGCAAACCCTGGCGCATAACCCTTACTTTTCTACACCTTAAATTATATTTGTGCATTAAGTTTTAAGGAGTTGAATGAAACCCACTTGCATATATATATATATCCTATGAGTCTCACTAGTACGACAGGATCGTGTAGATTACTATGCTACAGGACTCCAATAGAAGTCGAGTGATTGCCTGTCACTCGCGAGAGATAGGAAATATATTATTGTTGTTACTATATTATTATCACTTGGAATATATATATATGAATGATAAATGGAGACCGGGCAGGGATATGGTTTGAGTATTGGTGGATGTAAGAGGTTCTGTCCTACGGCCAACGGGGCATAGCTTGGTTACACTATTTCCCTGTTTGTGTCGGTTAAGGACCGACCGTTGCATTGGGTTCTAGGCAGGTCACAAACTTATTATCCTGAACACATACTTGTGTATGGGCGTATGGAAGACTTGTTACTCTCTTG